TGGCTGTTCCATTTTGCATCCCCAGCAACAACACAGGAGCGTTCTCATTGCTGTCTCCTAACTTCTTTTGATCAGTGTTCCAGTTACTGATGCATTTAAAAATACCTTTAAGATGGGTGAGCTTTGCTGTGTGCCCCTCTTGTCCAGCCAAGAACCCGCTTCATGTCTCCTAGCCTCCGCACATCTTGTTCAGCTTTATGGAAAAATCAGCAACAACTTATTCGTTAGACTTTTGGGTCTTCTCTTCTTCCCCACTCCATTCCTATTATATTTAAGAATGAGTTAGTAAATAGTAATGGGGAGAGAAAAATGGAACTTAAGGTAACTGAGGGAGCAGCCCCTGTCCCCACTTCAGTAACATTTTACCAAGTAAGCCCTAGGGATATTTGTGTGCAAGTACAATGCTAAAGTCTTGGGTGCACATAATCCTTGAAATAATGAGGAGGAGGACTGCTACTATCCCTATTTTATGAGTGAGAAAATGGAAGCTCAGCTGGGGAGTCTTGGTTTGACCATGGGTTTTTCTGGCTTCAGAGTAAACTCTTGACACAGCTCTAACCTGCTATCCTAGAGTCTACCTCCAGGGGTGTATTTAATAACTGGCTTCTGAAAAGAAAAATAAGGGGTGTGAAGAAGGAAAAGAAAGATTGCTTCTTAAGGGAACGTTGCCTGTCTTTGAGATTATTTTTTTTTTTCTACAGCTCTCAATTTCTTGCAAATAACTGGATGTAGAAGAAACTTGTCCTGGGAGTCAGATGACATGGGCTCTGGTTCTGGTTTTCCAGAACAACTTTGAGTTTGTTTTTGGTAAACCTTTGGTCCCTGGGTTTCCTCATCTGGAGATAAGTAGTGTATTGGATGCAAAAGGCCCTAGGACTCCTTTTGTGCTGCCTTGCAGTGGGCTGGAAGGTAGGAGAACTTCTGTAGCCACTGGGAACTCTAAACTTCTAGCACAAGGACCTGAGGGGGTGAGATGGGGAGGAGGGGTAGCCTCTAAAAGGGCCCCTGCAGGGGTTTTCCCCCCCAAACCGTCCAGTCCTTTTATGTCCATCCTTTTCCCTCTAGCAACAGCATCCCAGTTTTACCTGGAGTAATCATTCTTTCTCTTTTTCTCAGTTCATGGGAGACAGAGTCCAGGGACAGGCAAATAAAAGCTGGTAAACATCATATTTTCAAGGGCTGGGGATATAGCTCAGTTAGTGGAGTGCTTGCCTCCCAAGAACAAGGCCCTGGGTTCAATCCTCAGCAACACAAAGAAAGAAAGAAACAAACAAACATATTTTTACCCAACTCCACCTTGCCTCTTGACCCAAGGGGTGGAGGAGTAAACACAGGACCCAAAACAGGCTCAATTCCAAGACACTGGCTGGAGATGTTGGTGGCCATTTTGCCTCTTTGTGAGAAGTTTGTTGGAAGAAATGGAAGGAATCAGAGCTGGGTACTGCTGAGGGGACAGTTGTGGAGGACATCAGCTGAGTCCCATTGCTCCTCAATCCAGCTGTGCCTGAAGCCTTCACCTAGACTTAAGTTACCTGAGCAAGTAAGTCAGTTTGAGTTGGGTTACACTTCAGTAATGCTGTGCTCTTTGAACGTCTCTCTCTCTCTCTCTCTCTCTCTCTCTCTCTCTCTCTCTCTCTCTCCTGGAATCCCAGTTACTTTTGTTTAAACAAACAAAAAACATTAACTCTAAAAGCCCCATGAAAAAATGGAGTCTAAGGCAGTATTGGTTGCTGCCACTCCCCGTCCCACACCCATCATAAATACTGCTCATTTATAAGACTCCTTCTCCGTGCAGAATTCTTGGCAGCCTTTGCCAATCATTTGGAGCTGTGTCCAGGCTGAAGTCTGTTTTCCAACAGAGCTGAAGAGACCTGCATCGCTGCATTGTGAGTGTGCCAGTTGGAGAACTGGGAAGCCCGTTGACATCAAAGCATAGGATTAAGTTCCATGGCTTGTCCGGAGGACACTCGTTGATCACAAAGACAGGTGCAACTTTGATATATTGGCAAAATCAAACAGTGTTAATATTTAGCTCTGAGTCTTGGCCAGAGTGGCTCCCCAGGAGGGGTCTCTGCAGTAGCCACTGAGGCAGGGAAGTCTGGAGTCTAGCTAGCCTGCTCAGGAGCTGCATGCAGCTTGGGCAGAAGCAAGAGAGGCCTGGCAGGTGCTGTCTTCACCCAGATGGCTGGGCAACCTCACATGGCACCTTCAGCGTTCAACTCTGGCCCCACACCACCTGTAAAAAACTGGCTTAAAGCACAATGGGTGAGCCTGATCCTCAAGGCCCACCAGTGGGCCACTCAGGGTTCTCCCAGGGCTGTCAGCTTCGAGTACGTCACGTTTTCTCAAGGCATGAACCTCCAGCAGAAAGTGTTGGTTTTTCCTAAGTTGGTGCATTTCTAATTCTGCAGCTGACGGATGCTTTTCTCACTCTCCCAGAACTCAAGATCAACTTGACATTTCTAAAATTACATTTTGAAGGGAATGAATCTATAAAGTGCACCAAGCACACATGCCAGCCGGGGAAAGAAAAAAGGAGGAAACAGAATCATTTCTGGCTCCTTCCCTCAAATGTGTGTATTCTTTATCTGTCTGCGGGGAGGCATTTTAGACCATGGAAAGTGGTCCAGGGACAGGAACTCTGCACTTCTCCAGGGGTCCACCACCATTGTGGCTCAGACTGGCCTCATGGCATGGAATGAAAAAAAGGGAGAAACAAGACTGGGCTTGAGAGGGTAAGGTACCTTTGTCATCTCCATGCCAGAGCCAGGCTGTGGGCAGCTGGGGAGGGGCCCTGAGGAGGATCCCAGAGGAAGCCCCTGGCGGGCTGTCGCCCAGGCAGCAGCTGCTTCTCCTTAAACTGGAGAGGTGGTTGAGGGGCTTTGTGTGAGCCCCGATCAAAACACGCCTATCAAAAGGGATCAAGAGGCTGGCCAAGTGGACTGCAGATGGGAAGGGGAATGGAATCCTTTTCTTTTTTTTTTTTTCCTTTCTTTCTTTTTTTCAAAAAATATAAAGAAAATTCGGGGAGAAAATGTCTCCAAGGGCAATTCTTTCCTGTTCCTTGTAGCTAAGCCTGTCCAAGCCACCACAATGCTCTCCCCTCCACCCACAGATCAATTTTAAAATGCAGCCTGTTAGTATTTAAAGTAATCCATTCAAAACAGAAGAACCCCACCCCCTGGGCAGAGCGAGCCAGGCCCTCCAGCTTCTGCTCCTGGAGGCGGCTGTGGGTTTTCGCAGCCACAAACAAATGTGACCCAGGATGGAACCTGGACCCTTAGCCAGCTTTCCACACAGGACAACTCGGTTTCAATCATGAATCCCTTGTTCCCATTGGTGACTCTAGGGTACTGATTGCTGGGGAGACGGAAACCTGGGGAAACAGGGACTCTATTCTCGGGGGTTGCAGTATCTCACGGTAGAGGCAAATGCCTAAAGCACAGGCCTGACCAAACCAGGTAGAGTGCCACCCTGGCATGACAGGAGGGCAGAACTGATGAATGCTCAAGGAGAAAGGAGACCTGGGGGCTGTACTTGGAGAGGTCCGTGGGGCAGAGGGGTCTCTGAGGGGTTCTTGAGGTGTACAGGTGTTATGATGGTGTTCCAGATGGGGTGTACAACAAGCACACAGGTCCACAGATGGAGCTTTGGGTATAAGCAAGCACTCCCATGGGTGCAAGAAAAGGTGTGAGGTAGCGCCTTGGTCCTGTATCTTGATATCCTCAAAGTCCATGAATAACAGGCTGAGGGATCTGTGAAGTGAAATTCTAACAAATGAGACTCCCCAGGGGCCTGTGCTGGGCTGGAAAGCCAGCAGAGCCCATCCATCACCTGTGGATCCTTTTCTATAAGAGCAAACCTTCAACAGTCTGCCTCCAGTCCTCCAGGGAGGTTTTTAGAGGACAAAACTTATCGCCGTGGCCATGCCCTTCCATGAGGGTGCTTCTGTGAACATGGGAATTTCTGGAGATCACTTCAGGAAGCCCCTTCAGAGCTGAGGGCTGAAGCTTCAGGAGCCTATGACAGGTGTCCTGGCCTCTCCCAGCAGATAGGACCATTTCCTGGCTGATCACTGATTCTGCTCCCACTCAGGGCCTTGAGCTCACTGAAAGGGGTGTGTATTGGCTCCTGTGAGTGTGTGTGGCCCTCACTTATCAAGTCACCTGTGACATGGGAGGGGAGGGGTGGTGCCAGCTCTGGAACTTGTAATACTGGTAGAGAGTCAGAGCTGATTATGTGCCTAAACACAAAACTGTCGCTCCCACCCCTGCCTGGGTCCCCCCAAAGTTCCATGGCACCAGTCAGGCTGCCTTTTCTGAAAGAAAGATGTATTGGGTCCAATCAGTAGCTTCAAGGCTGCAGGTGGGACTCATCCCCCTCTTCTGTGCCACTCCAATCCCCACACCCATGGTGCCTCCCTCAACACACAACCCTGACTCCCCACAACAGACTCCATGCCTTTGCATGTCAAATGTTTTTTCTGTTTAATTAAAAAAAAAGTCACAAGAGGCTCTAGAAATACATGCTTTTAAATTCCAGCCATGAAGAGGACAAAAGAAGACACTGATATCTGAAATATGGCTGCTTTCCATAGAAAGGTTTGTGCAGCAGAGACACCCAGCTCCTCCACCAGTGGGAGAACATGTGGCCCACCAGGCAAGCGCTGTGGGGACAGTGTCTTTGGTTGGCTGGAGCTTCATCCAGAGCTCAGTGGAAGTTGGTTTGGCAGGAAGAAGACCCCCTCACACAGAGGCGGGGGTACAGGAGGACACATTAAGCTTTGTTAGCCTCCTGCTGCCGCTAAGGACTGTGGGACATGATATTTAAACCTATTACAAAGTACTTTGATCTCACAGTAGCCCAGCGACACCACAGTGGCCACGATGGGACATTGGCAGGAGAACAGTGGCCTGGACACTGCTCCTGGACACTCTTGTACTATTTGGATCCACATAGAGAACACACTAAAACCCTCTATACCAAATCAGAGTAAATAATTATACCAGTATAAACAGGGCCCTTGACCCTTTTGTTTTATTAAAATGGCACGTAAATATGAAAACAGCATACTGATCGCATTATACTTCTGCTAGCCCCAGGTGAGGTGCTGCGGAGCCGCAGGAGAACTCCTTCTCAGAGGCTGCAGACTCATGCATTGAGCAACTCATGTTCTTTATCCGTTTTCCCAACAGCATCAGGATTTGATAAGGGGTCGAGGTCAGCAAAGAGGCTGAACCAGGCAGTCAGGTCCGAGGCAGCCTTGGCAGGCTCTAGGGAGAGAAGAGGAAACATCAATAAACCCACCTTCTGAATCTCTACCTCCACCATGCTGGTAGCAGGCAGTCTAACATCATCTTAAAAAGGGATAAATCCCATTACCCTGTCTCTAATGAGCCAGGAAATAGCATGTCCCTGGTTGGCTGCTTGGTTAACTTTTTTAAGCCATGGCCTGAAGATCAGTGAAAGACACAGTTCTGTGTTAACTAACCTCACCTTTACTCCAACCCCAGCTAATGACCACAGCCCACGGAGTTAGTTGCCAAAAACCTCAGACCCCTCTTGCTTTACCACAACCAGGAAATAGTTATTTCAGATATCAGGCTGAGGCAGCAGAGTGCTTTCCAGTGTGTACTGGAGGAATCCCTTCCTTCAAGTCTGCTGGGTCAGGAGAGAGATGGTGACCTCTCTCTTTACTCTTCCAAGCCATAGGTACACAGTGAGCTGTGTCCAGGGCTGGCTTCTCTTCTTCTATCAGGGTCACTACCTTCTTCTCTCACCCTCTCACTCCAAAGGAAGGAGACCCTTGATGTGCCTTTCTTTCCCCAGTGAGCTCAAAATCTCCTCATCTCCAAGATCCCTGGAGCATTCCCTTCTGTTGCTTTTCCACCAAAACACCTAACTTCCTGAATAGCACCATCATACAGTCCAATTATTTTCCACATGAGAACATTTTCAAAAGAGGGCCTCATGCAAGTGATTTCTAAATAAGTCATGGCTCTTTTTTATATAAATCATTCCACATGAGAATCTAAGTTCACTGCCTTGGATGACCCATGCTTTTCTTCTTCTCTGACAGGTGGGAGTGTCAGAGCCTGAAAAAAGAAAGCATCTCTGGGATAGGGAGTCCTTCTAGCCAAGAGCAGCTAGGAATGTGCTTACCATCTGGCTGGGAAGAGTCTCAAGAAATGTTGGTAGGGCAAGTAGCTAAACGTGGTGAAGGGATGAAAGTGTTGGGATTATATCCACAGGGACTTTGGTCCTTTCATTAAAATGACACCAAAATGCTAAGATACTGAACTGATCTGATCACTTTAGACTTCTGATTCCTTCACCCTTTTTCCCTTCAAAATCTCTAGGAGTTATATTACTTTCTAGTGACATAATCAAAGTATCTATTACAGAAAGAAAAATACTGCCAGCAAGAATAGCTGATAATATGCAAGTTATTCCTATATGTAACCTTAATTGAATTCCATGTGGTCAGCCTCCAAAACACCTGGTTTCTTTTGCTGTAATAAACTGGTATTTGAGAAAGCTCACTATAGTTTGATTGAGGGGCAGGGAGATGTGGGAACTACTTTAAAAAAGGGAGTTTCATCTTCATCATGTAGGTGGTTATGCAAGGATACTCTATGGGGCAAGACTGATTTAGGTGGTTTAGTGTCTGTTCTTGATAGGCTGTCAAGATATCTTAAAGACATCTCCAGCGAAAATGGGTTACAAGCTCACTTCCCCTTCCTCCTACCTCTGTAAAAGATCTTAGAGATCATCAGAAAGTGGTCATGGCCTTCACCTGTGAGGAGCCAGATGCTTATACTCTGGGGACCTTTACATTCCCCAGGCCTCCACTATTGAGGGCAAAACCAGGTGTGACTTATTTGCACAACCCTTAAAAGAACATCTCAGGAACCCTTTCTGATGATGATGAAATAGACATTTTCATTTAACTTCCTGTGGCCAAAGAGAAAGTGGGTGATGACCAAAGGAACAGAGATAGAGCTGCAGATACACAAGATGATCTGTCAAACAGATGTTCTTTGTGGGCGGGTTTAGCAGGCGGGGAGCTGTCCCCATAGAGCACAGATCTCATGAGCTTAAAAGGACCTCTTTTGACAACTAAGAAACCTCCCCGTTTCTGAGGAGCACTAATTAGATGCCTTATTTGGTGGTGGTAATGGTGCTTTTAGCAAATGATAGCAAACCTCAGTGGTCCTTCCCACCTTAATATTTCCAGCCAATCTTGGGGAGCACCTGATCACATGGAGACAGATTTGATTCATCCTCAGCAGATACAATTTGACAAAGGGGATTATGAATTAGGACAGTATGCCAGGAAAAAATTCTGAATTTAATTTGTAAGATCATCTAAAACTCTTTATCCCATAGTCCTGCTTTGAGCCCTAGATGCTCAAATAGAAATTAGTAAAGAAACAGAAAATAGTGTTGGGCTGCTGGAAAAGGAGGCAACTGTCACATCAGGGGACATGACACCTTATTACCTTTCAGTGCAGGGCTGTTGTCATTTGAACTGCATGTCTTTGGTGCTGACCATGGAGTAGGAGGAGGTTTGACATTGCTCTCTGACCAGCCTAATATTCAAAACCAGAGGACATTAGATCTAACAAAAGCAGTCACACCAACCCACCAGCTGCTGGGCACATACATGGTTCTCAACCATGGTGGCTCCTAAAGAGAGGGCAAAGGATGGTATGACAAGACCCTTCTCCATGTTCCTTGCACTGGAATGCTTCAGGGGACAAGAGGTTGGTATAATCATGCCCAATTCAAAAATATGGAAAGCTAAGGAAAAGATCAGATTTTGAAAGGCACACAAGAAATTACTAAAATTTAAGCGTTTTTGCTTTTTTAGTTTTATGCCCATTTTTTCTTCCCAAATACAGTCCTTTCATGATCACACCAAAGATCATCAATAGTGCGCCAAGGAAATCAAGGCCCTTGCTTTTCTGTCAAAAATAGGGAACGCTTAAAAGAGAACACCATTATATGTGGCAGTAGCACTAGAAGACTATCCAAATCTACTGCCAATGTGGTCCAGTTCATTCATTCTCTACACAGCTAATTTAAATTGGGAGGCTTAATTAATATTGACAAATAAATGGCAGCCCAGCCCAAACATATGAGGGGAAAGAAAGTCCTCTTTATATCTTTACGCTATAACTTAAAATGGCATTTAGCTTGTGTGACTCAACATGCTGTGTGGCTCATGCGCCAAGCCTACCGATGGATGAGTGATTAGGCGGTGTTCAACACTCCTGTTCTAGAGATGCAAGCCTGATACCTTGCACCATTTACTGTGTATCCTGGATATTTCTGCAGGACTCATGTTTAATTAGAACTTTACCATATACTTCTTTGTAGCTCTGCTTAAATTCTTTGTGTGTTAAGTCTTGTCCTTTGAGTGAGACAAGGAATTTTTCTTCAATGGGCTCCAAAATAGTTAACACAGAACAGGTAGACATTTGCTGATTAAGTCCTGTTGTTTCTCCCTGTAAAATGTAGACCATCAGGTTTTGTCTCGGCCTTCAAGAGAGACTTATGTTTGGATGGAAGAGTTCAGATGGAGCAGAGAAGCTAGTTTCCAGAGCAAGAAGCCACTCAGTAGATACCACAAAATTGTAGAATTTAATGCCATTTGTTTACCCTGTCATTCTAAGATTCATTCTTTGCAGAAGACTTAATTATAGAGTCTTACTGTATTTATTAGTTTGTATTTTTGTCCCCTCTCCGCAAGCCACGAGTGTCTCAAAGCCAGGGGCCATGTATTATTTCTTTTTAGATTCCTCAGCACTCTGCTTGGGGCTCCATGGGGGTTTAAATGTATGACCATTGAATTAGGACGAACTATTAAAGTGTGAGGACTGCACTTCTGAAGTATTTGAAGAGCTGACAAAGCAGTACCTGGAACCCCGTAAGTGCTGTACTACTAACTCCCTGGCATACAAGCTTGTTTTTGAAGACTAACCAATGAGTAATGAAATACACAGACTGTGACCTGTTTACTTGGTCTAAAACAATGAAAAATATATAAACGGTTCTAAAAGCCATTGCTATTCACTAAAGAGGTGCTTGAACATACCGTTAACATGATTCATAAACAACCAAAGCCACGGATGTGCAGGGAGTCTTCTGGGATGATGGAAAGGTTCTAACCCTGAGCTACAGTGACAGCTGTACAATGTACATTTATGAGAAAACTTTGAACTGTTCCAGCATATAAATTAGACTCTAATAAAACAATTTTAAAGAAATTACCAGTATTTGGTGTGATCCAGGAATAACATAACCTCCTGGTTCCTAGAAAACTGGCCCACAACCATTTTTCCTTCTGGACCCAAATCACATAAAAGTGGCAAATGTGGAAAGTGAACATTGTGGTTCCAGTGCATGCCAAATAACACCAGTCACAGGGAAAGCTGAGAGGGGTCTAATCTAACTGGGCAACACCCTTTCCACTGCAATCCTGCCCCCAACCAAGTGCAGTCAAGACCCTGGCACTCTACTCTACTCAACCCCTGCTGCCTCTCCACTAACCCCTGCAGCCTGGCCTCATTCTCCCAGGTTGGTGGTTTCGTAAGTGTGAAACCCTCACCAGCATTATGAGCATCACCAATGAGTTCGTTAGAAACGCAAATTCATGGGACAGTGCTGACCTACAGGATCGGAATCCCTGGGATGGAGCTCAGGAACCTGTTTTAACCAACAGCAACTGTTATGTGAATGGAGTATAGGAAGCACTGCTTTAGAGGGAGCAGAAGCTGCCTGCATCAGCAGATCCCTTAGGACTGTAGCAGGTCTTTGAGGCCAGAGCCAGGACCAGGAGAGAGGCCCTCCTAGGAAGCAGAAGGCCCACTTCAGGATCCCACCTTCCTTTAAGTTCTTTGGCTTGTGTTGTGCTCTCTGAGTTTGTGAAGGCACCTTTCTAGAGAGAAGTCTAGTAGTTAAGGCCAGGTGAGGGGTACAGGGGTCGGGCCTCCCTGATCTCCACATGCTATTCTGTACACTGGGAACACATCAAGAAAATGCATCCCTTTTGCCAAAAAAAAAAAAAAATGCACAACACTCATTTTCAAAAACAGCTCCAGAGAACTGGAAAAGAGAGGCAGATTCAGAGGACTGTAGTTTTCAGAGTATGAAATGAAACACATTCTTCAAAGGAGACAGAAAACAATCTACATGCAAAAATAGAGTGCGACCATCCTTTGTATACTGTGCATGTACCTGAAAAAAACAGAAATAAGCAAAATCTGTACGTCATACTATATTTTGGAAGTGCCATAAATATAAACAATATTTTCAAATATATCATTTAAAGAATGTTTTCTTTATAAAGAAAACAGTTTTGTTGTTGTTGCATACTTGCTGGGGTTTGAACTTGGGGCCTTGGGCATGCCAGGCAAGTACTCTATTATAGAGCTACACCCCCAGTCCACAAATGTCTTATAATTGAGTTCCTTTGTAACTACAGGTTTCTGAACACTTCCTACCCACAAGCAACATCTAGAATCCATAGTTTGGGGGGCTTCTCCTCAGCAGAGGACATGGAGGAGGATGAGCCTAAAGATCTCTAGAGACTGTTTACCTCAGCTTTTTTGCAGACACCCATGGTGCGAAGCAGAGACAACAGCCTCTTGTGCCAAGTCACATTCCCTCCCCAGAACAGTTATTAAGCATCCATCTAACAGTTTGACTATACATGCATGAAGGGATAAAACAGCATGGCTGTGACACCAGCTATTTAAATAAAAAAGAAAACAAACACGAAGCTCAGCTGCAATGTCACCCTCACTCATATCACTTTTGGAAATTATTTAGGGGAAGGGTGCAATGTGGGTAATTAGGGACGGAATGCCAAGCCAGATTTCAAATGTCTTGGCTTCTGTCAGGAAAAAAAAAATAAATGCTAAAGAGAACTTAGTGCTGCTAATATTCTAGTAATTGCCATCAACTGTTCTCTAGTTGGTGTTACTTGGCTGAGACGTTTTTAACACGAAGGTGTGGCAAGAAAGATGCCTCCCCATCTCGGAGGAATTGTGTCAGGAGGGATGGTGAAGGCTGGGGGGCAGGAGGGCACAGTGAGCTCTGTGAACAAAAGGACCATCTCAGCTCTCAGTTCCTTTGATATGTCAAATGTGCTACCCGTTTGCAGAAAACACATATAAAATTTTATTAGAGCAACCCTGCCCCCTTTACTTACATAAGGGAAAATATAAATTGGCCAGAAGTCACACTGGCCAGTGAGAGCTGCAGGCGAAGCCAAATCACACCACCCAGAGAAGTGCTTTGCTGTGAACGTAATTCACCAGCAGAGAAGAGAAGCAGTCCAGTCTGGGGAGCTAATCACAGCCTGGAGAGCTCGGGGGTGGAGTTGGTTGTGAAGGGCAAAGTAGGGACACCATAGTCACGATGGCTAAGCACCACCCGGCCATCCTCATTTCCCCTTGCAGCCTCAGTTTCATACCTGTGAGGGGTAAATAAAAATTCCTGCCTTATTAGGTGACTGCATGAGTAAATTGGGATTTGTGGATGAGACCAGGCAGTAGAGAGGCTAGAGAACAGGACCTCAATAAATCTAAGCTGAAACTGGGTTTTTGTGTAACTCAGCAGACATCTGGAGTAACCCCCGAGAGCATTATGCTCAGGAATTCACATCTGAGGCTTGTTTTCTTCTAATCTAGTGTCATTTGTCAGTCTGTCTCTCTCCTTTCTTGCCTGCTATCCACCCATCCATCCAACTACCCGTCCAATAGTACTTTTTGAACATCTACTGAATTCCAGGCACTGAGCTACGTTCTGGAAATACAGTGAGCAACACAAATACCGACTTCGTTCCTATGACAACCCAGAGCAAGAGACAGAAATGAATTCGGTTTTCTAATAAGGTGAGGTAAGTGCGATGATGAGGTGTGGGGCATCATGGAAGTGGGGAGCAGAAACACCTAGCACTGACTGCTGGGGTGCGGAGGAGTCGAGGAAGGCTCCCTGGACGAAATGACACTGTTGACCCGGAAGGATGAGGAGCCAGCCAGGTAAAGCATTGTGCATGTGTAGGTGGGTGGTATACACCAGGACAGCACATGCCAAGGCCCCGTGGGTGGGGAGAGCAGGGCACACTGAAGTTCCATATGGCTGGAGTCCAGTGTGCAGATAGAATACTCAGTTCCCCAGCAGAACAAGGTCATTAAGTCAGGGTAAGTAAAGGCGTGGGTGGTATAGGCAGCTGTGAAACTGGGATCAGGTCCTGAAGGACTTTGTAAACCAAGTTGAGGAATCTAGACCATACTTGAATTGTAGAAAAGCCACAGAAACTTGCCAAATCACACGATCTTTCTGAAGTTTTTCTGTTCCCTCAACTACAAAATGTGGTTGGAGAAGATGGTCAAGATTCCTTCTAGGGACTAACAGAGGCACTTGAATCTTGCAGGTCTCCAACAGCTGCTTTACAGATACTCCTCAGTGGGCTTAGAAAATGCTGGTACTTTGATGAAGTTGACAACTCCATTGGCTTGTGCAAGGAGTGCCTGCCTCACGTTCAAACTATCAACACACTCACAGTCTTTTCTTTTGTATT